CATACAGCACATAGATAGGACTTGCAGGGGCAGCCATGCATCCACATCAATAGATGCACTCTCACAACATACAGCACACAGATAGGACTTGCAGGGGCAGCCATGCATCCACATGAATAGATGCACTCTCACAACATACAGCACACAGATAGGACTTGCAGGGGCAGCCATGCATCCACATGAATAGATGCACTCTCACAACATACAGCACATAGATAGGACTTGCAGGGGCAGCCATGCATCCACATCAATAGATGCACTCTCACAACATACAGCACACAGAAATGACTTGCAGGGGCAGCCATGCATCCACATCAATAGATGCACTCTCACAACATACAGCACACAGATAGGACTTGCAGGGGCAGTCATGCATCCACATGAATAGATGCACTCTCACAACATACAGCACACAGATATGACTTGCAGGGGCAGCCATGCATCCACATCAATAGATGCACTCTCACAACATACAGCACACAGATATGACTTGCAGGGGCAGCCATGCATCCACATGAATAGATGCACTCTCACAACATACAGCACATAGATATGACTTGCAGGGGCAGCCATGCATCCCCATTAATAGATGCACTCTCACAACATACAGCACATAGATATGACTTGCAGGGGCAGCCATGCATCCACATCAATAGATGCACTCTCACAACATACAGCACACAGATAGGACTTGCAGGGGCAGCCATACATCCACATGAATAGATGCACTCTCACAACATACAGCACACAGATAGGACTTGCAGGGGAAGCCATGCATCCACATCAATAGATGCACTCTCACAACATACAGCACATAGATATGACTTGCAGGGGCTGCCATGGATCCACATCAATAGATGCACTCTCACAACATACAGCACACAGATAGGACTTGCAGGGGCAGCCATGCATCCACATGAAAAGATGCACTCTCACAAACATACAGCTCACAGATATGACTTGCAGGGGCAGCCATGCATCCACATCAATAGATGCACTCTCACAACATACAGCACACAGATATGACTTGCAGGGCAGCCATGCACCCACATTAATAGATGCACCCTCACAACATACAGCACATAGATATGACTTGCAGGGGCAGCCATGCATCCACATCAATAGATGCACTCTCACAACATACAGCACACAGATAGGACTTGCAGGGGCAGCCATGCATCCACATCAATAGATGCACTCTCACAACATACAGCACACAGATAGGACTTGCAGGGGCAGCCATGCATCCACATGAATAGATGCACTCTCACAACATACAGCACACAGATAGGACTTGCAGGGGCAGCCATGCATCCACATCAATAGATGCACTCTCACAACATACAGCACACAGATAGGACTTGCAGGGGCAGCCATGCATCCACATCAATAGATGCACTCTCACAACATACAGCACACAGAAATGACTTGCAGGGGCAGCCATGCATCCACATGAATAGATGCACTCTCACAAACATACAGCACACAGATAGGACTTGCAGGGGCAGTCATGCATCCACATGAATAGATGCACTCTCACAACATACAGCACACAGATATGACTTGCAGGGGCAGCCATGCATCCACATCAATAGATGCACTCTCACAACATACAGCACACAGATATGACTTGCAGGGGCAGCCATGCATCCACATGAATAGATGCACTCTCACAACATACAGCACATAGATATGACTTGCAGGGGGAGCCATGCATCCCCATTAATAGATGCACTCTCACAACATACAGCACATAGATATGACTTGCAGGGGCAGCCATGCATCCACATCAATAGATGCACTCTCACAACATACAGCACACAGATATGACTTGCAGGGGCAGCCATGCATCCACATCAATAGATGCACTCTCACAACATACAGCACACAGATAGGACTTGCAGGGGCAGCCATGCATCCACATGAAAAGATGCAATCTCACAAACATACAGCACACAGATATGACTTGCAGGGGCTGCCATGCATCTTCATCAATAGATGCACTCTCACAACATACAGCACACAGATAGGACTTGCAGGGGCAGCCATACATCCACATGAATAGATGCACTCTCACAACATACAGCACATAGATATGACTTGCAGGGGCAGCCATGCATCCACATGAATAGATGCACTCTCACAATATACAGCACACAGATATGACTTGCAGGGGCAGCCATGCACCCACATTAATAGATGCACTCTCACAACATACAGCACACAGATATGACTTGCAGGGGCAGCCATGCATCCACATCAATAGATGCACTCTCACAACATACAGCACACAGATAGGACTTGCAGGGGCAGCCATGCATCCACATGAAAAGATGCAATCTCACAAACATACAGCACACAGATATGACTTGCAGGGGCTGCCATGCATCTTCATCAATAGATGCACTCTCACAACATACAGCACACAGATAGGACTTGCAGGGGCAGCCATACATCCACATGAATAGATGCACTCTCACAACATACAGCACATAGATATGACTTGCAGGGGCAGCCATGCATCCACATCAATAGATGCACTCTCACAATATACAGCACACAGATATGACTTGCAGGGGCAGCCATGCACCCACATTAATAGATGCACTCTCACAACATACAGCACACAGATATGACTTGCAGGGGCAGCCATGCATCCACATGAATAGATGCACTCTCACAACATACAGCACACAGATATGACTTGCAGGGGCAGCCATGCATCCACATCAATAGATGCACTCTCACAATATACAGCACACAGATATGACTTGCAGGGGCAGCCATGCACCCACATTAATAGATGCACTCTCACAATATACAGCACACAGATATGACTTGCAGGGGCAGCCATGCATCCACATCAATAGATGCACTCTCACAATATACAGCACACAGATATGACTTGCAGGGGCAGCCATGCACCCACATTAATAGATGCACTCTCACAACATACAGCACACAGATAGGACTTGCAGGGGCAGCCATGCATCCACATTAATAAATGCACTCGCAAAACATACAACACATAGATATGACTTGCAGGGGCAGCCATGCATCCACATCAATAGATGCACTCTCACAACATACAGCACATAGATATGACTTGCAGGGGCAGCCATGCATCCACATTAATAAATGCACTCGCAAAACATACAGCACATAGATATGACTTGAAGGGGCAGCCATGCATCCACATCAATAGATGCAATCTCACAACATACAGCACATAGATATGACTTGCAGGGGCAGCCATGCATCCACATCAATAGATGCACTCGCAAAACATACAGCACACAGATAGGACTTGCAGGGGCAGCCATACATCCACATGAATAGATGCACTCTCACAACATACAGCACACAGATAGGACTTGCAGGGGCAGCCATGCATCCACATGAATAGATGCACTCTCACAACATACAGCACACAGATAGGACTTGCAGGGGCAGCCATACATCCACATGAATAGATGCACTCTCACAACATACAGCACACAGATAGGACTTGCAGGGGCAGCCATGCATCCACATCAATAGATGCACTCGCACAACATACAGCACACAGATAGGACTTGCAGGGGCAGCCATGCATCCACATGAAAAGATGCACTCTCACAAACATACAGCTCACAGATATGACTTGCAGGGGCAGCCATGCATCCACATCAATAGATGCACTCTCACAATATACAGCACACAGATATGACTTGCAGGGCAGCCATGCACCCACATTAATAGATGCACTCTCACAACATACAGCACATAGATATGACTTGCAGGGGCAGCCATGCATCCACATCAATAGATGCACTCTCACAACATACAGCACACAGATAGGACTTGCAGGGGCAGCCATGCATCCACATCAATAGATGCACTCTCACAACATACAGCACACAGATAGGACTTGCAGGGGCAGCCATGCATCCACATGAATAGATGCACTCTCACAACATACAGCACACAGATATGACTTGCAGGGGCAGCCATGCATCCACATGAATAGATGCACTCTCACAACATACAGCACACAGATAGGACTTGCAGGGGCAGCCATGCATCCACATCAATAGATGCACTCTCACAACATACAGCACATAGATATGACTTGCAGGGGCTGCCATGCATCCACATCAATAGATGCACTCTCACAACATACAGCACATAGATATGACTTGCAGGGGCAGCCATGCATCCACATTAATAGATGCACTCTCACAACATACAGCACACAGATATGACTTGCAGGGGCAGCCATGCATCCACATCAATAGATGCACTCTCACAACATACAGCTCACAGATATGACTTGCAGGGGTAGCCATGCATCCACATCAATAGATGCACTCTCACAACATACAGCACACAGATAGGACTTGCAGGGGCAGCCATGCATCCACATCAATAGATGCACTCTCACAACATACAGCACACAGATATGACTTGCAGGGGTAGCCATGCATCCACATCAATAGATGCACTCTCACAACATACAGCACACAGATAGGACTTGCAGGGGCAACAATGCATCCACATGAAAAGATGCACTCTCACAAACATACAGCACACAGATATGACTTGCAGGGGTAGCCATGCATCCACATCAATAGATGCACTCTCACAACATACAGCACACAGATAGGACTTGCAGGGGCAACAATGCATCCACATGAAAAGATGCACTCTCACAAACATACAGCACACAGATAGGACTTGCAGGGGCAGCCATGCATCCACATCAATGGATGCACTCTCACAATATACAGCACACAGATAGGACTTGCAGGGGCAGCCATGCATCCACATCAATAGATGCACTCTCACAATATACAGCACACAGATAGGACTTGCTTTTTTCTACATGATTATGACAGCTGATGTATTGTCAGTGAGTCAACTATTCCTTCTCCAGTTGACATATACCAGATTATAGATGGTCATTGTTGCCCAGTCACAAGAAATCCAACTTGACAAACCCTCCCAATCAACACCAGTCAGACGGCATAAAGACATTTATTGAAATGGACAAAAATAATTCACAATACATTTCATAGGGTAAAGGGGTAGATACCAATAATACCAGCACTCAGGATATTCACCCAAGCCAAGGAAGACTTCAGCCAGGATCTTCCACCAGGCTTGGTAGGATTTCAGCCAGGATCTCTGGCCAGGCCTGGGTTGACCTTCTTTTCCCCATTCTACACATATTGCATCAAAGAGGACACATGGTGTGACAGTGGCAATATTTTGGAGTTTCCACAATAACGTATCATGCTAAGTAAAGATTTTCTTAAACACAAAAGTATGTGTGATTAAAAGCTAAATACACCCATTCTCATTCAATAACAACAGCAACATTTACGAAGACACACAGAAATCTTAAACAGTAGCATAACCTTTACCTGTCCAAACACGTGTGTTGCATGCTGTACAGAAGGCTTCTCATACAGGCCAGTTACCAACACTCTTTACCGCCGTCATATAGCTGGAATATTGCTGAGTGCGGCGTAAAACAACAAACAAACAAACCAACACTCTTTACTCTGCAACATCCTTATCACTCTGGTGATGGAGTCACAACACATGCCATGACTCTTATTTCACCCATCTTGAATCTAGATTTCCCTTTCATCTACATTTCTGGTGGCCTCCTCTGTGTCACTGCTGTAGTATTGCTAAAAGTGGTGTTAAAAACCTATCCACGCTTTCGTCTTACATGAAATATATTTTACCCACAAGTAAAGTGTCACCTTGTGATCTGTTGTCACATATCTTGAACCCTTAATGACCCATCAGTCTTTGGTTCTTTTTTTCCCTAATCTAACAGATTGTCAATTTCAAAATAACAATTTCCTCAAACAAATTCATCCATACATGCCACATGCCACTCAGATGTCAGTGCACCCCATTGCCAAAGCCTGATTCATGAAGTTCACTGTGCAGTCCTTCACAAAAGTTCCCACAAAGCTTGGCTCCAACAGAGTAGTCCAGGAGTTACCTCCCCTCATCTGTTACTGCAGGCACTTTTACACAAGTCTCTAGCCAGTTTGACCAGTGTCTTCCCCTTCACTCCCAGGCCTTCCTCATCACTGAACTCCTGGGCTTTGGTCATCCAGTACTCACGCGTCCGCTCAAAGTAGTCGGAAACCGACTCACCCTCCGTCAGCGCTGGTGCATCATCGAAACATATATCCATGTCAGAATCTGAAGAGAAGATTGAAATTCAAAAAATAAATGTAATACTCGAGTTGGTCAAACTTCTGAACTTATTGAATATAAGGTTACAAATGTCTGCCCACTTCATATACTGTATGGATGTTTCAACGTTAGTGATATGATATTGATGCATATCAGTTAATCACACAGATAATGTGCATCAATGTGATCTTGAACTTTTTCACGTGACAATCCTTCTAAAAACACCATGTCTGAATACAAACCGAGAATACAAACAATCTACCTAGGGAATGCCAGGTTTAACAGATCTGCTGGACACGAGACCAAGCCAGCGACATATAATCTCAGCCTTCACAGGTAGCCACTGAGTGATCATTTCGAACAGCTAGAGTGGAGGTTTTGTGTAACAAACATAAAGGACACTACAATTTATATTTGAATAATTACAGTGTTGCAAGATATGTTCAATCAAGATGTTGTACTGCTGACGTCCTGAAATGGCGTTCCACTGTGACCTAAAGACAAGTGCACTTTGTAGAACTCCATGAGCATCTTCAAGTCCACACTGATGTCAGACCTACTGATGCTAAGGAACTCAGTGACTTCTGTAAGCTTTCCTTACTTTACAGTCAATGATATTTATTGAAAATATCTTACTCTTGCTCTATATATATTACAAATACTGTGCTTTGATATAGCCATTCTGTGTTTTCAAAAAGAACTTGGCATATAGTAACGGTTTCATTCTCCAAATTAGCTACACAATACTACACACTCAAAGCAATTGTTTGTTCAAGTTGGGAACAGAAGACTAAGATTGTGGTCTAATTTCTACAAAGGTATGTTCCTATTAATATATGTTTTTTTGTGTTTGTTTGTTTGTTTGTTGTTTCATGCCACACTCAGCAATATTTCGGCTATATGATGGCAGTCTGTAAAAAAATTGAGTTTGGACCAGACAATCCAGTGATTGACATCATGATCGTCGATCCACGCAATTGGCATCAACCAAGTCAGCGAGCCTTACCACCCGATCCTGTTAGTCGCCTCTTACGACAAGCATAGTCGCCTTTTAAGGCAAGCATGGGTTGCTAAAGACCTATTCTAACTCAGATCTTCATGGGTTGCTATTGAATATACCATCATCATCATCGTCATCATCGTCATCATCATCATCATCATCCTCTCCCCCACAGGCCTCATCCATCTTCGCATCATCCTCATCATCGGAAGAATCTGAGTCCTCCCACACCTGCAAATAAAGTAATCAGTGCACATTGACACAGTTGAACACTGAGCAATTATTGACGATCGGACGAGAGCAACTAAGTTTGTAATACTCACTCTGAACACCTCAAACATGAAAATCATTTGATGACACATGATTTGTTGGGGAGCACAGACCAACCAGCCATTGACACCCTACATTAAATGATTCACACAGCCAGACTTGTCCATGTTGTCTGTGTCCTCGGACTCGCCGTGTAAGTGACTTGCATCCCCTCTCAATGTGTGTTTAAGGGATACAATATTTTGCTACTAGCTGTAAGGGTACTGACATAACTGCTTTGTTGCTGTGTTGAACCAGCATTTGAAGTCAACTGAAACTGTTTATGGTTTGGAAATATTTTATGTCCGTTTCATCTACTTCTGTTTGCTGGAAACAACAACTTTACATCAGTTTGGTTTGTTTTTGCTTTTTTGTTGCTTAACGCCGCACTTAACAATATTCCAGCCATATGACAGCGGTTTGTAAATGATCGAGTCTGGACCAGACAATCCAGTGACTGACATCATGAGCATCGATCCACACAATTAGGATATGATGACATGCATCAACCAAGTCAGCAAGCCTGACCACCCGATCCCGTTAGTCGCCTCTTACAAGCATTGTCCCTTTTACAGCAAGCAGGGATTGCTGAAGACCTATTTTAACCCGGATCTTCACAGATCAACTTCACATAAAGGTCAGATATTTTGTATTCTTGGTTTACAGAAGCAATGGTGAAAACATCCTGTCCTGTAGATGAGAAAAATAATAAAATATGAATTATGTTTCAGAACTATTTTCTGTTGTTCTTGAAACTATTATCCAAATATGTCACCATGTGTGCAGTGTTAGTTAAGCTTGTCCCTTCTTGCAGCATGCACGACTGTTTTGTGGTGAATCAGGAAGAGTGCATTCAACAACAACAACAACAAAATAGTGCTTTTCAGATTTGATATATTTTCCACTATCATTATTTTAAGGTCAAATGAATCTGAAATTGTTTTGTTTCAAACAGCAGGGTTAAAAGTACCAATGATAGTTACAATCAGATTGGCACATTATGTTTTGTTTGTTTGTTTTGATTGTTGTTTAATACTGCACTCAGCAATATTCCAGCTATATGACGGACTAATCAAGTCAGGACCAGACAATCCAGTGATTGACAACCTGCCCATGCATCTACACATGCAGCAACCAAGTAGGCTACCCTGACCACCCATTCCCGTTAGTCGCCTCTTATGACAAGCATGGGTTGCTGAAGACCAATTCTAACTCGGATCTTCGTGGGTTGACTGGCATATTGAAATAACCTGAAGGGCACACTTGTAGTTTGTTTGTAACAAAGATACTTTTTGACAGGGCTCCTTATATGAAACAAGTGATAAACGTACTTTCACACAAAAAAACGAAACATTATTTTCATATGACCACAAGTTACACACATCAAGGAGGGGAGTCAGAAATGGAAATGGTTATCATGACTCTCAATGTAAAGGAAGGAGGCAAACTTTCTATATTAAACAGCTCATCGTGACATGACATTAACCAAGTTTGATGATGAACCTAAAGCATTCTTTTTGTTGATATATTTAAACTGTAAAAGGAATACCTGAACAAATTAACGAGTGCCCTGCGGCTAGCTTCCTAACAATAATATTTCCATAATCTTTACCATTCTTTCCCCAGCCAATACAGTACTGTTTGTATAGCTTCCTCTGATAATGCTTCAGAGAAAGGGTGTATCTGTGCCAGATATGCCTCCAAAACAAACATAGAAGCTATACCTCATTTGACCTCCAAATCCCCTGACCTCACCTGTAATTTCTTGTCCTCAGCAATGATGACCTTCCATTCATCGACCTTGTTCAGGTCCAAGGAGTAGAAGTCCGCTAGCGTCAGCTGTTTGTCTCCGTCCTCGTATATTCCCCCGTACATGTACAGCACACCGTTCTTGACAGTCATGAGAGGATTCATCCGCGGCGAGGGCTTGAACAGATCCACATCCATTCCACTCTCTATGGGCTCCCCATCTTCATCAACAGCGCCCCCTTGTGGGCCGATCGTCACTTTGAATATACCATCATCATACGTAGTCTCTGAAGCCTCGGCACCATTGTCCCCAGATTCATTCTTGAGTGACAAGTTCTCCAGACTTTCCTCTGCAACCTCCATCTCCTCCTCCCCCTCCATATCTTCCTCCCCCTTCTCCTTGCGGCGCTTCTTCTTCTCCCCCTCATCCTTCTTCCCCCTACAGGAACACAAGTGAGGAATGTTCATGCCCCAGTCACATCCTTGAGGATCCAGTGTATCATATCTCTATTCTATATAGATAAACACCCTCGACCTAGTCACCACCTTAGCTTTGTTTTAAGTCCAATTTGAAAGACATCCATCAAATAACCATCATCATAGTTAAGTAAGCAGCAGCATCACCAGTCCTTTGCCCATCTTGTTGCAACTTCCCTCCCTCTATCTTATACTCACGAAAACACTTTTTTCCAGCTATAGGATCATTAATAACAGTCTGCTAACTCAAATATATCTTTAGAGGTTCACTCATACACAATTTGTAATTAAGATCTAAACTCGAGTTCAAAAGAAAACTTTGATTGGTAACTGATTTCATTCTTATGAGCGAGAGAAATTCTGGGCTAAGTTGGTGATGAAAAAATGAGGTTCCAGGGCATTTATCGTTTGTTTGTTGTTTAACACCACACTCATCATTATTCCAGATATATGACGGCGGTCTGTAAATAACTGAGTCTGGACCAGGTAATCCAGTGACTGACATCATGAGCATTGATCTACACAATTGAGATAAGATGACATGCATCAACCAAGTCAGTGAGTCTGACCCTCCGATCCCGTTAGTCGCCTCTTACGACAAGTATGGTTTGCTGTAGACCTATTCTACCCCGGATCTTCACGGGTGTAATAAAATGGAGATCAACGATCTAGTCACAGATATTAATACTTACCCAGGTATAAGGGTTAAGTGTCTGAAACTCAGCAGAGTAAACTGAGAGCCTTAAGGGCCAGCACATTTCAAAAACTGTAGGCCCATTGGGACAACTGTAGGCCCAAACATTTTAGCTGAAGCAGGGCGACATACTCTTGCAACATAAATTACAACACACAACCAGTCAACCAGAAGCTTTTACTGCTATCACATCAAGTTCCCAGAGACTCCGTGGTGATAATGAAGCCAACATTCATCAGGAATTTGTCAACTTGTAAAACATCTTTGTGACTACATGTCATACACCATTTAAAAGGTCTAATCCTACTGTTTATAAATATAAAAGTTATGTTTATCACTTTATGCAAATAATGCTTAATAAATAATTACTTAAATAAACTGCAGGCTGTAAGGCATGTAAATTAAAAATATCAGCCTGAGAACAAATCTGTTGGCCTCTGACCTACGAGCTGATGTCTGTTTCGAACACTGTTAGGGTTGTCTGTTTGAGGTGAGTGAGTGGGTGGGGTGGGTGGGTTGGTGGGTGAGAGAGAGAGAGAGAGAGAGAGAGAGAGAGTGAGTGAGTGAGTGAGTGAGTGAGTGAGTGAGTGAGTGAGTGAGTGAGTGAGTGAGTGAGTGAGTGAGTGAGTGAGTGAGTGAGTGAGTGAGTGAGTGAGTGAGTGATCAACACTGCAGGTAGCAATATTCCAGCCATGTCACAGCAGCCTGTGTATAACGAGTGTGGAGCACACACACCTGACTAGAACCATGAGCAACAACATAAGCCACCAGAGCACGAGGACACCCAGTCAGGCATGTGATGGAGCAGGACCACCCAGTCCATAACAGTGCACTCCCACAACAAGCATCAGTCACTGAGGGCCCAGTCTATTACAGTGCACTCCCACAACAAGCATCAGTCACTGAGGGCCCAGTCTATTACAGTGCACTCCCATAACAAGCATCAGTCACTGAGGGCCCAGTCTATTACAGTGCACTCCCACAACAAGCATCGGTCACTGAGGGCCCAGGCTATTACAGTGCACTCCTACAACAAGCATCGGTCACTGAGGGCCCAGGCTATTACAGTGCACTCCCAAAACAAGCATCAGTCACTGAGGGCCCAGGCTATTACAGTGCACTCCTACAACAAGCATCAGTCACTGAGGGCCCAGGCTATTACAGTGCACTCCCAAAACAAGCATCAGTCACTGAGGGCCCAGGCTATTACAGTGCACTCCCACAACAAGCATCGGACACTGAGGGGCCAGTCTATTACAGTGCACTCCCATAAAAAGCATCAGTCACTGAGTGCCCAGTCTATTACAGTGCACTCCCACAACAAGCATCAGTCACTGAGGGCCCAGTCTATTACAGTGCACTCCCACAACAAGCATCAGTCACTGAGGGCCCAGTCTATTACAGTGCACTCCCACAACAAGCATCGGTCACTGAGGGCCCAGTCTATTACAGTGCACTCCCACAACAAGCATCGGTCACTGAGGGCCCAGTCTATTACAGTGCACTCCCACAACAAGCATCGGTCACTGAGGGCCCAGTCTATTACAGTGCACTCCCACAACAAGCATCAGTCACTGAGGGCCCAGTCTATTACAGTGCACTCCCACAACAAGCATCCGTCACTGAGGGCCCAGTCTATTACAGTGCACTCCCACAACAAGCATCAGTCACTGAGGGCCCAGTCTATTACAGTGCACTCCCATAACAAGCATCAGTCACTGAGGGCCCAGTCTATTACAGTGCACTCCCACAACAAGCATCAGTCACTGAGGGCCCAGTCTATTACAGTGCACTCCCATAACAAGCATCAGTCACTGAGGGCCCAGTCTATTACAGTGCACTCCCACAACAAGCATCGGTCACTGAGGGCCCAGGCTATTACAGTGCACTCCTACAACAAGCATCGGTCACTGAGGGCCCAGGCTATTACAGTGCACTCCCAAAACAAGCATCAGTCACTGAGGGCCCAGGCTATTACAGTGCACTCCTACAACAAGCATCAGTCACTGAGGGCCCAGGCTATTACAGTGCACTCCCAAAACAAGCATCAGTCACTGAGGGCCCAGGCTATTACAGTGCACTCCCACAACAAGCATCGGACACTGAGGGGCCAGTCTATTACAGTGCACTCCCATAAAAAGCATCAGTCACTGAGTGCCCAGTCTATTACAGTGCACTCCCACAACAAGCATCAGTCACTGAGGGCCCAGTCTATTACAGTGCACTCCCACAACAAGCATCAGTCACTGAGGGCCCAGTCTATTACAGTGCACTCCCACAACAAGCATCGGTCACTGAGGGCCCAGTCTATTACAGTGCACTCCCACAACAAGCATCGGTCACTGAGGGCCCAGTCTATTACAGTGCACTCCCACAACAAGCATCGGTCACTGAGGGCCCAGTCTATTACAGTGCACTCCCACAACAAGCATCAGTCACTGAGGGCCCAGTCTATTACAGTGCACTCCCACAACAAGCATCCGTCACTGAGGGCCCAGTCTATTACAGTGCACTCCCACAACAAGCATCAGTCACTGAGGGCCCAGTCTATTACAGTGCACTCCCACAACAAGCATCAGTCACTGAGGGCCCAGTCTATTACAGTGCACTCCCACAACAAGCATCAGTCACTGAGGGCCCAGTCCATTACAGTGCACTCCCACAACAAGCATCAGTCACTGAGGGCCCAGTCTATTACAGTGCACTCCTACAACAAGCATCGGTCACTGAGGGCCCAGTCTATTACAGTGCACTCCCACAACAAGCATCAGTCACTGAGGGCCCAGTCTATTACAGTGCACTCCCACAACAAGCATTGGTCACTGAGGGCCCAGTCTATTACATTATCGTGTGTTTAGTCCATGTGTGAATGTTGTGATGATATTACCAAATAGTTGAGAATATCTGTACTTGGAGGAAACCGGACCGCCGCTTTGTTGTGTACCGGGGTTACCTATGGTGCCACAGGAGTACAAGATAAATGTCCGAAGAACTCGATTCATGATGAGGATGCAACTTTCAGTTCTTGTCACAGATAGTTGTCTCAAAGTCACTATACCCTACACTGTCAACCATTGCAAAGTACACAAAATGAAACCCAAAGGTCAATGTATTCAGAACACTCTGTCTGATAACTACACAGACACAACTATCATTCTTTGCCCCTGATATCCACACATATCTGAGTGGAATGCTCTGCCAGATACCCACACATACCCAATTTTAATTCTGCGTCCCTGGTACCACAAATACCCAAGTGGAAAGCTGCACTAGGTGTACACACATACCCAAGTGCAATGCTGTGTTAGATACCCTCATGTACCTGAGTGCAATGCCTTTCTAGATACCCACACATACTCGAGTGCAATGCTGTGCAAGATACCCCTACGTACCGGAGTGCAATGCTGTGCCATCTTCCCTTCTCCACCTCCAGCAGGTACATATCATTGTAAAAGGCACTCTTCATTTGTTCATCACTTTCATCCTGGAATATTAAGTAGATATGAAAATATGTGATTACTCACAGAATACACAGACTTCATAAGCAGTTACCCATTCTCATTCAACCATACATATTGGCAGAAACAGTACTTGGGCACCAATAAATTCCTGTGCTTGCCTCATCAGTGTGTGATGTCTGAACTTCAGGCTCTGAAGAATGTACATTTGCCAATTGTTCCAAAATAACACTCGCGCTTTCTTATCTTAGTTGTTCTGTGTAAGCAATGTTAGCGGCAGTAGAAACTGTTGTAAATATATTTGTAGTAATTGTCAGTAGCAGTAAATGATTACTGGTAAAAATATATCAAGTTGATCTGCAGGCAACAGGGGCAGATAGAGCTTTCCAGAATTAGTGCAAACTGATTTCTGGGATACTTGAAAATCACCTCTTAACATTAGTAACAAAATCAAAGAGATACCTCATCGAAAACACCTCCAAACAAGACAGCTCTGTTACCAGGGGCAACAGTCAATGACAGGCCACATCTGGTGCTGGGGTGTTTTCCGCTCTGCTTGACTGTTGTCCACCGCCACTTGACTGGCACAGAGCCATCCTTGATACGCCCTACAACAAACCCCCATTTTCAGTCGGAGTCTAAATGTTGCCATGGAAACTAGATTTTTGTTGTTGTAAATCCCTAACTATTAAAAGGCACCACTAGACCTATCTACATAGAAAAGAAATATTTTACAATATTTTTCAATATCTGCTTCAGAATCGACATCTTGCATGGACCAACACACAGATGCACAAATGGAGAGTCCATTTTAATACCCCCCGCAAAATGTGTTGCGGGTATAAAAATATATTCTTACCCTGTATTGCAGAAAACAACCAATTATTTTTACAATATCAAAATCTCAAATTGCTTATCATCTGTGAGTGAGTGAATGAACGAAGATTTACAGTCCTTTTAGCACTACCACAGCAATATCATGACTGGGACAGATCGGTGGGCAAATGTCAAAATCAATCTGGTGTCTGTGGATGTAAAGCCAACACTCAAACCACTAGGCTACCCACCCAACAACAAATCACCTGTGAGTGAGGTAGTCAAGGTTATATGCTACTTTTAGCAGTATTCCAGCCTTATTGCCGCTGTGGACACCAGAAATTGGCTTCCCACTTTGTACCGATGCGATGAATCCAACCTGGACCGTCAGCATGAAACCCAACCCTTTAACCACAAAGCTACCTCACCCCCGTATTAAGTCTGATGTACTGTCAGTGCTATCTAAGTGAACTGGCATGCCTACCTTCCGGCATCAGGGCGAACATGTCCACGTGGGTCACCCCTCTGTCCACATCTCGCTTGACCTTCTCCTTGCTGTACCCTCCGTAAACAATGACCTTGGAGAGTTCAGGAACGGCAGCAATCACATGACCTGATCGAGGGGACGGGACAGTCCCCGACACTTCCAGCTTGGCCCATGTGTAAGTATCCATGTTGAAGGCATAGGCATCGTTGTAGTACTTGTAATCTCTGGTAAAATATTGGACTGACGTTACAACATGTCTCTTCACAACAATTTTCTAATAATATTCAATAAACATCCAGTGAATGTAATCCATGTGTAATGCCACAGCCATCAGTATTCCAGCAGCCAGTAAACAGTCAAGCCAGGACAGTCAAGCCGAGACAGTCAAACTAATACGGTCAAGCCAGGACAGTCAAACTAATACGGTCAAACCAGGACAGTCAAACCGGGACAGTCAAACCTGGACAGTTAGGGCAGGTAAACCAGGACGGTCAAGCCAGGACAGTCAAACCAGGACAGTCAAACTAATACGGTCAAACCAGGACAGGCAAACCAGGACGGTCAAGCCTGGACAGTCAAACCAGGACAGTCAAACTAATACGGTCAAACCAGGACAGGCAAACCAGGACGGTCAAGCCTGGACAGTCAAACCAGGACAGTAAAGCCAGGATGGTCAAACCAAAACGGTCAAACCAGGACGGTCAAATCAGGGCAGGCAAACCAAGGCAGTCAAACAAGGACAGTCAGGGCAGGCAAACCAGGACAGTCAACCAAGGACAGACAAACCAGGACAGACAAACCAGGACAGTCAACCCAAGACAGTCAAGCCAGGACAGTCAAACAAAGACAGTCAACCCAAGACAGTCAAGCCAGGACAGTCAACCCAAGACAGTCAAGCCAGGACAGTCAAGCCAGGACAGTCAAGCCAGGACAGTCAAACAAAGACAGTCAACCCAAGACAGTCAAGCCAGGACAGTCAAGCCAGGACAGTCAAGCCAAGACAGTCAAGCCAGGACAGTCAAGCCAGGACAGTCAAGCCAGGACAGACAAACCAGGACAGTCAACCCAAGACAGTCAAGCCAGGACAGTCAAGCCAGGACAGTCAAACCAGGACAGTCAAACAAAGACAGTCAGGACAGTCCGGACAGTGACTGTAAGCATGAGCAAGTATCTACAGCGCCTTGGCACAATCCCACTCAGGACACCCTCCCATGTAGCTGATGACCAGATGAGAGTGATTATCACCTTCTGTATTACAATTGTTGTCAACTGTCAAGGGGGTTTCTGATATCACCATAAAGCAAATTATTCTAATACCGTTAAACGAGTCTGGACTAGACAATCCAGTGATTGACACCACAAGCATCTATCCACGCAATTGGGATACGATGACATGCATCAACCAAGTCAGCGAGCCTGACAATCCGATCCCGTTAGTCGTCTTTTACAGCAAGCATATGAGTGAAAGTGTCCACAGTGGAATGTACAGGAGTTGATGATCTGAATGGCCCAAATTGTGACATATTTGTGTGTGACATTATGATCCATGGTGAGATGACCATAGGACTCCCAGTATGTTAACTCAAAGAGCAAACAGGCTCAATTGTGCTGGGACAGGCAAGAGTTGTCACATCAGACATAACTACATCATGATATTCGTATCAGCCAACTTGTGTGGGTTTTACAAGATGGCAGCTGTCCAATTACATAGCTACATTCTATAACGAGTCATCACAAAATGTTCTCCATGCTTCCTATGACACAAGCAGAGTGTTGTTCAGGGCCAACAGATGCGACATACCAGGGTGTTAATCTCTTGATAATGTCAGTTGAAAAAGCAGCTTACTTCCGCTTAGGCTAAACAAAATTAATAGTCTTGGTTCTCGGGCACCACCCTCATCATTATAAAGTCTGCCACACGTTTTGTTTTTATTTCCATTTTCAAAAAAATATAAAAATCCTAATACTTAAACACAATGCACACAAAAAATTGAAAATGGAAACAAAAACAAAATGTGCAATGAACTTTATGATGATGTGGACAGTGCCTGAGAACCAAGACTATTATTTTTTTAGCCTTATTAACGTAATGCTCATTAGTCTCACCTGGTGTTGTCATGGAAACCACCAAACACTATCAGCTGCCTCTTGACCGCAACCATTCTGTGACCGCTCCGAGATGTTGGACCCCCTGGGGAGCTGGGAGATAATGGACATTATCTTTCTGTCACCAAGTTACATTTCAGCTGCTGACACTGACTGTCTTGAATTAATCTTTACATTTACTGATTTCTTGAATTTTGTGAAATACAGATAACACAAGACTGGTTGAGTGCAATACCACTGTTGGTTTGAGTCATGACCAGGGGAGCTAACTCTATCCTAATATTATCCAACTAAATGAAAGGCCATACTTGTTTACTTTAATAACATGACATAATTTGGCCACACTTCTTTTATTTCTTGGTTGTCAGATTGTTTGGTAAAAGATCCTGGTCGGCAATCATGACATATGATCAGTGTGGAGTTCATCATGTTCATCACAAATAATTGCGAAAACCTCTGATTTTCCATTAATTCATCTGAATTTCCTGATATTTGGACTAAGTTTCAGAATTTGACCTCCAGAAACCTTAACCTTATATGGAGGTCAGCTAAATACTTAAGTTACCTTGTGCACATCTACAATCCGTCAACCATTATTTCAGCACCCACTTTTTCACCAATATTTTCCATTAACACACAATCATGCAACGAAAATTGGTTATTATGGTTAATGATCATTGACCTAACTAAAAAATTCCACTTTTGTAATATTTAATGACCAAATAAAATATTTTCTCCATTGTTATGTAATTTTGTGACATGGTCATACAAAAATGGTACACGTCTGCTGCATGCATGACCTAAGGTCACCTTAAAATCCAACCTGATGATGAGGGAATGTCTCAAAGACATGTTAATACACAAATATCAGTTTTAAAATAAAATATGATTTAAAATACCTTAGTATATAAAAGCTAAATATTATACAAGAATTGGGGATCAAAACATCTTCCGAGTAGCTGAACATCTGGACAGATGCACAGTTGTCGGAAAATGTGTGTTCAATGTCTGTGTCATCAAAGGTGGAATGACATCTCTCAATACCCGCTTGTCAAAACAATCCAGCTCTTCTATTTTCTTAGGATGTGGGATGACCCCCTTTGGTTTGACATCTGCATGTTTAACACCCCTAGTAGGGGAGATAATTCCGATTTAAGTCATCCCTGACATGCTAAATGCATGCAATGTTTTCTTTGAGAAACAACAAAGTAATATCAAGGGTGTTTCTCTATATGATTCACTTTTGAAAAAACAATACACCTTACAAATGATATCACGTTATCCTTTGACAACATGTCTCATTGTCACAGGAGATTTCTTGCCTACACCGATACTGTTGGTACAACCAGAGGTGTTGGGTGACCTACGGTCATGCATGCAGCAAGCATGTTAAAGACACACTATGTCATTGTTGTGAGACATTAAATCATCTGTTCTTACCCCCCCAAAACAAGGCCATGTCAACGATCACAAAATAACATGTTAACAATAAAGAAAATATCTGCAAAATGATGGTTGACGGACTATAGTTCACACTGAGTGACCTTGAACTTCAATGTCATCCAATCATATGTCAGAAAAATACCCCAGGGTTATATAGGAGGTATATATATCAGGTAAGAAGCTGCTAACATCTGTGGTTGAGAAAATTAATTGCTGTGGCTGTGTTGAAATGCGAACTAACACATTACACTTGATTCATTATGTTGTTATGTCAACAAATATCATGTAAACAACATGAAGAATGTAAACATGTGTTTAGTCATCATGCAAAATGAATACATTTGAAAGCAATATGGCCTTTGCATGCCACAATCGATAATACAGTTTCACACATTTATAGATACATGTTTTCTGTTTAAAAAAAAGATCCATCCTAGTTAAACTCTTATAAAAATGACAAATATGCTGCTTTGAGAAGCTCTCACTTGATCATTTCCCAGTGCTTGTTCTTGAGATGCAGCACCCACAGGTCTTTATAGTGGTAGAACTGGGACTGCGTGTGGCTGGAGAACTCCCCGCCGAACACCCACACCTGCCCCCCGCCCTGGTGGAGACTCACAGCCTGGAGGAGGAGGAGGAGGTCAGTCTATAGACAACTACATCAGTATTCACTGTCAATATCTGTACCATCAATACTTCACCGGTTTGTACATGTACATTCCCACGTCCCCCTGAATACATTGGGCTGACATGCTGGGTAGTGTGACATGTATCCCTGCCAGGGTGGTTGAACAGCTTGCTTTCTGCAGGTCCGCCATTTGGAACTGCATGCACTTTACTCAAAAGCAAACACAAGATACGGAGGCGGTCAGATACTTCAGTGCACTTCCTTCACCCTACATCTGTGCATGCATGCGCCTGTGGGTGTGTTGTCTAATGCTGCACTAACCAACATTCAAGCTATATGACAGCAGCCTGTAAATCATCGAGTTGCGAAATGAAATCTATTGACTTATTATTATGACCAATGAACCATGCCGTTGGGGTGCGCTGACTCCATTAAATCATCTCTTACAACCAGCATAGGTTGGTAAGGACCAGTAGGGACCGGAATCCCAATGGGTTCCCAAATTAGTCCCCTCTTACGACCAGCAAATGGGGTGCTGGGGATATACCAGTATTCTACCCTGGGTCCCCATGAGGCAGGTACAGTGAGTGAGTGCAGTGGGTTTAACACCCCTTTTTAAAAGTTTTCCAGTTACATCACAGCATGTCAGCTTGATGTGGGAGGATGAGGTACCTAGAAATGGAAAGGTGTTTTTCCATTATATATAGCGTGTATAGACCTTATTTCTTTGTTGTTTAACGCTGCACTCAGTAATACTCCAGCAATATGATGGCGGTCTGTAAATAATCAAGTCTGGACCAGACAATCCAGTGATTGACATCATGAGCATCAAACCACGCAATTGGAATATGGTGACATGCATGAACAAAGTCAGTGAGCCTGATCCCGTTAGAAGCCTTTTACGACAAGCAATGTCGCCTTTTATGGCAAGAATGGGTTGCTGAAGAGCTATTCTAACCCGGATCTTCATTGGTTCATTCCCTTATGCGTAGAACAAGTTATAGGTTAGGTCATTAGTTCGTGTTGATCCTCTACAACAGGAGTCTCACCTGATGGGCGCTGCGAGGAGGGGGCTGTTTGGGGGATGTCACCTTGTGCCAGTCATTCTTCCTGATGTTGTAGAAATACAAGTCATTGTACAAAAACATCTGAAACAAATAAGATTTTACAAAAAAAAATGAAAATAGTTAAAAGGATATTGATGAAGTGGTGATGAGAGAAAAATGCCTCAAACTGCATGTCCCTCAAGATTTACAAGCCATTTGACTGTGGAAATTGTGCTAGAAGTGCTCACTTTATTCTGTACATGGACATTGCTATTTGTTGTACATGCCCATCTTCCCGAGGCAAGGGAGTTAACTGACTATGAAAGCCCAGTTTCCACCCTTCCCCACTAGGCTGGAATTATGGAGTTTTATTTTGGCTGGACTAACAAGTCTGTGCATAGTCCAATCAATATCGAGTAACGAAATCGACATCTCGTTCATAAAACAGCCATGCAGATTTCCACCGATTGCAGGATTTGCAAAGCATGTGTACCAACAACTCAGCGTCAACAAATATTTTCCAAATCTTTTCATGTTTTTAATCAAGGAGCTCATGTGATTTGATGCACTATGCAAAGTAAGACCCGTATTATTACAATATAGATCTTGATTATCAATCAGATCATCTTGACTGGGCGCTGCCATTTTGTTTGAAGCAAATGCAAGTAATATGAGAAGTTGAATCTGATTGGCCTATAGGAGGGACTGAGAAGGGACAAAACTCATAATAGCCACTGGTGGAGTTATGATCGAGACCAGAAATTCCAGCCCAGTTCGGCAAGGGTAGAAACTAGACTTTTACAGTCTGTTAACTCCCTTGCCTCAGGAAGATGTTGTACATCTCTAAGACAGATAGATGACTTTCAATTATATATCCAGGTTAAAAGGGATAGGCTCATTGATAAACAATTGCAAGAACATAGGCTCAGTGATAAAAGTACTCACTTGATCTAATCCTTGGTACCAATAATATTCTTTATCATACCTCCATGTCAGAATGATGAGATCTGATTGGTCCACGCAATCATGATAAAACACTATGTATCCCGCCTTGGAGGAGAATACATTTCTCAGGAGGTGAATAAATCCCTTATACCCAACAACTGCTGCACGTGGATTTCTGAGAAGCAGAATAATCCTTTAAACCCCTCTTCTAATAAAAAAGCTGCATACTTTTTCCGAGTCATGCGACTGCACAAGCTAACCTCAACTAAAATCAAACAACTATTTTGAATTTGTTTTAATTCATTATAATTAAATTTTCGTTGTGTTCATGGAAATCCCTGCATTCTGATTAGCTGAATTGGTCACGTGTTATTGCATTCATTTCCCAATGAAATGTAAAAAATTAAGCCACGCCCACCGCGGCGCACTACTTTTATTACTGCGAAATGTCGGGGAATCCCAATATTACAGTCGAGGGAATTCCCTTTCTGCTCACGTGTATCGTCATGCACAGGACATTTAGCGACTTTCATGCATATTCATTGTCCAAACTACCCTTTGAAACTGAAGGCCGAGGATGAATGAAACAGCAAACGTGCAGGCTCGCTCGCCTGTTTTTTCCCCGCTCGCCTCGGTTCAACTTTCATGTCTTCGGGTTTCATTTCTAACTAGCATTTCTCCAACTGTGTTTTACCGTAATCAGGGAAGGAATGTTTGAATCACGCAGTAAATGACCATGTTATTTGAAACAGCCGCCTTCTCTCGGACATATTTCTTCCGGTTCGTTACAGTCTGACTGTTGCAAGTCTTTTCGCCTCTTGCCTTGATTGACAACATGAACATGAACATTCTTTTAACCCCACTCTCCGTTGATTGGCTACTGACTGTGTAAGCGTGTCAAGTTATGTGCATAAATTAAACGATCACCTGATTCATGTCACGCCACTGTATGTATTCCTACACCTGGAATGTTTATCAATGTCGTCATTTTTGTCTTTTTTGATGTATGCAACTGTTTTCTACTATTGTAGATAAAACATTTTTTACGTTGTCGAATTTAATTATAAGCATTGACTGTGTTGTTTTTTTCGGTTCATTGAGGTATGAATCGAAAAACCGATGTGCAAACTTTTGTAAGAATTCGCTACGCGGATTCATACAGTTTGCACATTGGTTTTTCGATTCATACCTCAATGAACCGAAAAAAATACACAGTCAATCCTTAATACAATGTCATATTAAAACATGTTGGGAGGATAAATTTGTCCAGCTTGTGGTATAAAACCCCATGTTCCCCTAGTGATCACGCTACAACTATGTATTAGAATTTGTATCAGAAGCTATTCCAAAACAAGAAATTAATTTTTGAATATAAGAGTGGTCATCAGGTATCAATCAGAAGGTGAGAGCTGAGAAGTTATAAAACCCCATGTTCCCCTAGTGATCACGCTACAACTATGTATTAGAATTTGTATCAGAAGCTATTCCAAAACAAGAAATTAATTTTTGAATATAAGAGTGGTCATCAGGTATCAGTCAGAAGGTGAGAGCTGAGAAGCGTTGCGGTCCCCTCAGTCCCATGGAGTGTAACTCATAAGAATCATTCTCCAACATTCATCATGTTCTGTGGCCCGGAGGCCCACAGGTAAGAAGTTACAATACCTGATGACAATGTGAACTTGTGAGACCAATTTGACTGTAGCGGGCTGATGTGAATGTCAACCATGGCTGCCATTTTAGCATGTTCATTTCATATTACAAAAATATTATTTAACTACACATACAACATTCATTTCAAAATCACAGTCTTAACATCATATATCTTAAATTTATTGTGGTTTTATCAACCAGTCAATCCTTAATACAATGTCATATTAAAACATGTTGGGAAGATAAATTTGTCCAGCTTGTGGTATAAAACCCCATGTTCCCCTGGTGATCTCACTACAACTATGTATTAGAATTTGTATCAGAAGCTATTCCAAAACAAGAAATTAATTTTTGAATATAAGAGTGGTCATCAGGTATCAGTCAGAAGGTGAGAGCTGAGAAGCGTTGCGGTCCCCTCTGTCCCATGGAGTGTAACTCATAAGAATCATTCTCCAACATTCATCATGTTCTGTGGCCCGGAGGCCCACAGGTAAGAAGTTACAATACCTGATGACAATGTGAACTTGTGAGACCAATTTGACTGTAGCGGACTGACGTGAATGTCAACCATGGCTGCCATTTTAGCATGTTCATTTCATATTACAAAAATATTATTTAACTACACATACAACATTCATTTCAAAATCACAGTCTTAACAACATATATCTTAAATTAATTGTGGTTTTATCAACCAGTCAATCCTTAATAATTAAATTTTCGTTGTGTTCATGGAAATCCCTGCATTCTGATTAGCTGAATTGGTCACGTGTTATTGCATTCATTTCCCAATGAATGTTAAAAATTAAGCCACGCCCACCGCGGGGCACTACTTTTATTACTGCTGAATGTCAGGGAATCCCAATATTACACTCGAGGGAATTCCCTTTCTGCTCACGTGTATTGTCATGCACAGGACATTTAGCGACTTTCATGCATATTCATTGTCTAAACTACCCTTTGAAACTGAAGGCCGAGAATGAATGAAACAGCAAACGTGCAGGCTCGCTCGCCTGTTTTTTCCCCGCTCGCCTCGGTTCAACTTTCATGTCTTCGGGTTTCATTGCTAACTAGCATTTCTCCAACTGTGTCTTACCGTAATCAGGGAAGGAATGTTTGAATCACGCAGTAAATGACCATGTTATTTGAAACAGCCGCCTTCTCTCGGACATATTTCTTCCGGTTCGTTACAGTCTGACTGTTGCAAGTCTTTTCGCCTCTTGCCTTGATTGACAGGTCCAATGAACATTGTTTTAATCCCACTCTCCGTTGATTGGCTACTGACTGTGTAGGCGTGTCAAGTTATGTGCATAAATTAAACGATCACCTGATTCATGTCATGCCACTGTATGTATTCCTACACCTGGAATGTTTATCAATGTCGTCATTTTTGTCTGTTTTGATATATGCAACTGTTTTCTACTATTGTAGATAAAACATGTTTTACGTTGTCGAATTTAATTATAAGCATTGACTGTATATTTTTTTTGATTCATTGAGGTATGAATCGAAAAACCGATGTGCAAACTTTTGTAAGAATCCGCTACGTGGATTCATACAGTTTGCACATTGGTTTTTCGATTCATACCTCAATGAACCGAAAAAAATACACAGTCAATCCTTAAATACAATGTCATATTAAAACATGTTGGGAAGATAAATTTGTCCAGCTTGTGGTATAAAACCCCATGTTCCCCTGGTGATCTCACTACAACCATGTATTAGAATTTGTATCAGAAGCTATTCCAAAACAAGATATTAATTTTTGAATATAAGAGTGGTCATCAGGTATCAGTCAGAAGGTGAGAGCTGAGAAGCGTTGCGGTCCCCTCAGTCCCATGGAGTGTAACTCATAAGAATCATTCTCCAACATTCATCATGTTCTGTGGCCCGAAGGCCCACAGGTAAGAAGTTACAATACCTGATGACAATGTGAACTTGTGAGACCAATTTGACTGTAGCGGACTGACGTGAATGTCAACCATGGCTGCCATTTTAGCATGTTCATTTTATATTACAAAAATATCATTTAACTACACATACAACATTCATTTCAAAATCACAGTCTTAACAACATATATCTTAAATTTATTGTGGTTTTATCAACCAAATAATTTGATGTTTGGTAAACAAGGAGACTTTGAAAACTTCTGAATTATTGTATATGGGCGGAGCTAATATTTACTTTTCTACACTCCAACTTCAATATAAGGCAAATGATAATATTTAACATATTTTGATCATGAAGGACCCTGACAAATCATCATATTGTGATTAGAGTAACGAAGTCTTAGTTAATGTAAAGAGAATTTATTTAAATGACTTATTCAACATTTCCCCTACATAGTGTTATAATGGGGCACATGGCCACCTCCCCACAAAATAAAGGAAGGTGCCACATTTCAACACTATCTCACATGCAAATCAACATACACCAGTTCACATATAATTAATCTAATCACTGTCTATCAAACATATCTCTGGTGAAATCCCCATATCAATGCTTTATTTGAAAAAAATTACAATTGGTGTTATTTCTAAGTTATGGTGACCTACTTCTGCACAAGTGGTTCATGCTGTGGAGTTATCTCCCTTGCACCATGTGTGGTTAGGTGCCCCTACAAACTATATACCTGCACATGCTAAAAGCCATGATGAATCATTACCTAGACTGAGAAATAGACACTGGATTTAGCATTTGCAGTGATTTATCAAGACCTCCCCAGAGGTTAATATTCCACCCCTAACCTGCAGCAAATGTCAGTAAATATTCCCCAATTAGATTTCATAATGTCTCCCTTTCATCATTGTTCAAGTTTATTGTAGATTCACAATTGATGTTTTGTGACTTGTTCTTCTCTGATAACAGGACCACTGAGAGACCTGAGTGCTTAGCTTTACATTACTGAATTGCATGCAATGTTTAAATACTTCTGAATTTAAGAAAATATTAACCTAAAACTAATGACTGTTCACAATTTACTTAGTTGGGAATCCTATATAAATCTCTGTTCTAGCTATCAGTGACATGTGGTTGTTGCAGCTATGACTACAGCCAGTGAACAGTGATCCTTCACTGAATTGTTCCTACAACAATTTCCTGTCTAGTTTAATGATCAAATCCTGATGGGGACGCGACTTCAGGGGACAGGAATCTTGATAGGGACTTGACTTCAGGGTACAGGGATCTTGATGGGGACGTGACTTCAGGGTACAGGGATCCTGATAGGGACGTGACTTCAGGGAACAGGGATCCTGATGGGGACGTGACTTCAGGGAACAGGGATCCTGATAGGGACGTGACTTCAGGGGACAGGGACCCAAATGGGGACTTGACTTCAGGGTACAGGAATCCTGATGGGGACATGACTTCAGGGGACAGGAATCCTGATGGGGACGTGACTTCAGGGGACAGGAATCCATGTGGGGGACGTGACTTCAGGGGACAGGAATCCATGTGGGGACGTGACTTCAGGGGACAGGAATCCTGATGGGGACGTGACTTCAGGGGACAGGAATCCTGATGGGGACGTGACTTCAGGGGAGAAGGAATCCTGATGGGGACATGACTTCAGAGGACAGGGACCCAAATGGGGACGTGACTTCAGGGTACAGGAATCCTGATGGGGACTTGACTTCAGGGTACAGGGATCTTGATGGGGACTTGACTTCAGGGTACAGGGATCTTGATGGGGACTTGACTTCAGGGTACAGGGATCTTGATGGGGACTTGACTTCAGGGTACAGGGATCTTGATGGGGACATGACTTCAGGGTACAGGGACCTAGATCGGGACTAGGGACACCATCAGGCTCATCCACAGCTCAATTCGGATAACTGTTTTAACCTAACTACATGTACATCATTGAATGTTTAAAGAAAAGACAACTAGACCCTCCAGAATTTTAAGTAGAATTGGGCGGACAGACGTTTGTCATTGTCTACCCTGGATGTATTTCTCTGCTCCTTACCTTATTCCCTGTGTAGTATTCCCCTCCAAACATGATAAGTTCATCCTTCTCTGGATGGGCCGTCAGTGACATATTGCATCTGAATATCAAGGTTCAAAGAATAGACTAAACCATGTTCAGAATCCACTACAAGTCAGACACTAGGTGCAAGAGATTCTTACAATTTGAGTCATCTGAGTCAACCGATCCAGATTCAACCTGAGGTAACCATTCATAACCTAGAGCAGTATCCAAAATGCATAAATGCAGCCTTAGATATAATACAGTATGGCAGTCCAGAGAGAAACACAACAGCCATGTGTATTGCCATAACACACAACCACATGAGGTTAACAAGTATTACACTGCTTGACAAAGCTGCCATTTTACCTTTTCTATTTAATGCATGTAAAATGACTTGAAAATTCAAAATAAAACATAGAACATCAAACATCAATCAAGCAAAATCATCATCAAAGATCCACTCATTCGAAAGTTTTTAAATATTCAATAATCAAAATTTAAATTTCCCTGATGCATATCAGAATACATATATACTATAAATACCTAGTTAGTTATATTCATTAAACTGCTGCTTTTGTTCATGATTGAACTGGGCGGTGGGGTAGCCTAGTGTTTCAAGCGTTTGCTCGTCACGCCGAAGACCCAGGTTTGATTCCCACAATGGGTACAATGTGTGAAGGCTATTTCTGGTGTCCCCCGCCGGGATATTACTAGAGGGTTGCTATAAGGGGCGTCAACCATACTCACTCACTCATGATTGAATCAACAAATGAAAGCAACAGCTTTAATGATGACATCACTCGGACACTGCTGACCAGAGTACTGTCCTCAGGGTTTCTGTGGGTATGAGCAGCTTAGGTCAACTGAAGTTGCACCTCAGTGACTTAACCTGTGCTAACACTGGTCAACCAAGGTTAACTTGGGTTATACACTGGTCAAGGCTGGTTCACCCGGGTCAACCAGGGTTTTGAAATCGAATGCAAGCACTGACGAAAAGTAAATGCTGGATGTCACATGACAGGCAGTGGCCTTTGACCCTGCAGGGATACCTGGTTAGAACTGGTCCACAGCAACCACTGCTTGAAATGGAATGGACCAGGTAGCCAGACTCAGTGATGGGTGTGGATGATATTACTCATAATATGAAACGCGAAACACAAACCAGTGGTCAACAGTGTGAACAAACAAACAACCAAACAAAATACACTCCATACAGAAACACTGCCTCAATCTACAACGCACCTTGGTGAAGGGGGACCACATTTTTCTTCTATGACTTGTGTGAGTTTCTTATCCTTTGACTGAAACTCTGCAATCAAACTCTCGATGTCCTCCTGTGAGATAACATGAAACCTGATTAGAAGCTGCATGTAAGTGACATGTATTATACTGACGGTATTTGGCTTTTCTTGTCAAATAAAATCTTTATGTTTCTATCTTTGACTGATGTGACAAAACATCTTCCCAAGGCAAGGGCGTTAACTGACTATAAAAGTCCAGTTTCCACCCTTGCCGAACTAGGCTGGAATTATGGAGTCATATTTTGGCTGGACTAACGAGTTTATCCATAGTCCAATCAAATTGCGTAACGATATCACCATCGGGTTCGTAAACAACATGGCAACTGCCGTTCAGATTTCGGTCAAGCAAGAGCAAGTGTACCATCAACAAGGCGTCGACAGATATTTTCCAAATCTTTTCATGTTTTTTATCAAGGTGCTCACATGATAATGAGGAATGAACCATTTTATTACAATAATCCAGTCTTGACTGGGCGCTTCCATTTTAGTTTGAAGTAAATACAAATGATATGAGAGGTGGAATCTTATTGGTCAATAGGAGGGACATAGAAGGGACATAACTTGTAATAGCAACTGTTGGAGCTACGATGAAGCCACGAAATTCCAGCCTTTTTGGCAAGGGTGGAAACTGGACTTTTACAGTCAGTTAACTCCCTTGCCTCGGAAAGATGATAACTATAACTATAAGTATTTCATCCCCAAAAAACACAACAAAATCCTCATATCTGAACTAACTTCAATAAAGGATTGTCATTGTATTTGTTGATGTTCATCAGCTGATGAAGACAGTTCCTCAAATGAGCAAATTTACCATGAAGCCCTTGAAATACAACTTCAATCCTTATATCAACAGATACATAAATCATAACAAAATAATCCATTAAACATCAAACTTTAATTATTACAAGCGAACTATATGAATGTGGAGAGTCTTGACGTCATCCGTCCCAAACATTCCATTTGGAGCGACATCCCTTGGTTTAACAAACGGCAGAAAATGGCGACTACAGCAATGTCATTCACTTGAAATAAAAGTAAAGTTAGTGTTGGAAAGAAATCCAGACCCTGTTGAAGCTGAAAATGGATTGATATTAAGGTTTCTGTGACCTTTGGGTGTGCGGTTGGATTTCCTAAAGCAATACACGACAGTGTGGAGCTCAGGGAGTTCTTTTGGTAAGTCGAGCATTCTCTGTTATAGCTTCAAATGGACGCTTCATTTTTGTGACACGACATACACATGATCTGTCTGGCTTCAAAGCCTGCATCATTCATAACCTGAATCGATGTCACTCTCAGTTTTCCCAAATGATTTTAATGTTATTTTTAGACATTTAGGAATCCCCCTAAAGTAGTTCTGTACGTCTCCGCTCGATTGACGAACGTAATCATGTGACATTCTGATGTTCATCGGGGAATGAACGACAGTCAGCTTGGTAGTGTTCACCTAGGCGAGGTCACCCGCTACTGTCAATATTTGAAAATATTCACAAATGTGTATCCAGCTGAATCGAGTTATATTTGATTAATTATCTGCATGATCATACATTTATCTTATCTGGTTTCTGGTTCATAGCTCTATGGGTCTTCTACATGATAAAAAAAGACATTTTTCAAAAAGTAATAAATCAGAAAAATACTGTATTTTAGAATTCAACAATAACAGTATAAGTACATTAATGCAACAGATTTATTTATGGCTTGTACTTTGGGATAGTTCTTTGTCAATATTAGACTTGTCAGATTTAGTGATTGCAACATATGAGAAGACTCAAAGATCTGTCTCCAGATTGGGTAAAACAAATATTTGTCTGCACACCTAGGTACACATGGTTTGCACTTACATCTAACATGTCTAGGTTTGCTAAGATGTCTAAATTACACTTTCAAGATTTTGACACCTGTTAGGTCCAGGTTGTAACTGATGCACAGTAACTATGCTTCTCTTAAGAGAAGACTAAATCAATTAGGTGGTCATGAGGGTGAGGGTCTTTAAACACGTAGTGAGTTATTTATTTTAGTAAGTGTATGGTCTTGTATCGATACAGAAAAAAAATATATCCTGTATCGTATTGTCACATGAAAACTCACGATACACTGATGTATAGTTTCACCCTTATCGAATGTAGCCTGGCTGATTTTCTTGGCCATTTTCTTACCTAGAAAAGTGCAATGACAACATAGATTGATGATCAGACTCTCTGACTGGACCCATATAGATCTTCAGCAACCCATGCTTATCGTAAGTAGCGGGGATCGGGTGGTCAGGCTCGCTGACTTGGTTGATGCTTGCAAGTCATTGTATCCCAGTTGTGTAGATCAATGGTTATGATGTCACTGGATCATTTACAGACCGCCATCATATAGATGGAATATTGCTGAATGCCACGTTAAACAACAAACAAACAAATATATTAATTCTGGCAAGACTGCAGTTAACCCTTAACAGTTTCAGCTTACTGGCCCTGGTGGCCGGCTGTTTCTCTTGTTTCAGTAACCTCCAATGACGCCGGTCCGATCCTTTGGGTTAGTTGTCTTGGGGTTAGGGTAGGATACTCCCTTCTACCGGGTGCAGGCTAAAACGGCACCTCAGCAAAACGTCAACAATTTCTCTGGCGAAAACGGCACCGCATTTGGCGAAAACGGCTACTATGTGATGTGACGGGCGAAAACGGCACCTCTGTTTTTAATAACGATAAGAACAATTTACGTTGTAGTATATCTGATTTATGTTATTTGTTACATATAATTTGATGTATTTACATATCATTTCCTGTTTTCCAATTGTTCACAGATAACTACATACATTCACATATACACAGTTCTTCACAGTTTTCATCTTCATCTCACGTTTACAATATCAGCCCATGTACCACCGAGCATTGCGATAGTAGCTGACTCAGGGGGCTAATTTCTAATGTAAACTTGTTTGAACTTTTCACAATTATTGGTGTTTGTAAGAGACGATGTAAGTTTAATTTCATTTATTTTACTTCAAAGCATATAATGTTTTCACAATAAGTTAGTTGCGCCTCCCAATCAGAGTCGGCGAGTAAATTGGAGTAGGGGGCTAATTTCTTATGTAAATTTGTTTTAACGTTTCACTATTATTGGTGTTTGTAAGAGACGAGTGAGTTTAATTTCATTTATATTACTTCAAGGCAATTTATGTTTTCACAATAAGTTGAGTTGTGTATAGGCTAAGTAGGAATATAGTTGGAGTAGAGGCTAATTTCTAATGTAAACTTGTTTTAACAGTTCACAATTATTGGTGTTTGCATGCGACCATGTAAGTTTAATCTCATTTATTTTACCAAGGTAAAAAAAAATAGGGTGCCGTTTTCGCCAGGCAATAGTAGACGTTTTCGCTTGAGGCGAGTTGACGTTTTCGCCAATCGGTGCCGTTTTCGCCAGGTGACGTTTTGCTGAGGTGCCGTTTTAGCTATAACCCCTTCTACCCCCAGCTTGTTATGAACTGTTATACAACTGTATGTTTGTGTGCTCCAGGTTCCCCAGGTCAGATTAGGTTTGATCATCAGTCTTGGAGTTACACCAATAAATCATCACCAATTCGTGCACGTACAATTCCTGACACATCGAACTCTCACAGCAGCCACAACCCCCCTTCCAATACCTACTCATGAAATGATCTTATTTACCTCTCCCTTCTCAGCAAGCTCTTTCTTGGCTCGTTTGTCTGCCTTTTTCTGCGTTTTCTGAGCAGTCTTCTCGATCCCCTTGCCCTTCTTTTCCTTTTTATTCTTTTTTCCCATGCTGTCACACAACTGTCAGTCCACGATCGTTCTAAACAGTCTAAACTTCGCTGTCACTACCCGATCGTTTCCAGATCCAACACGTGCACCTGAAAATACCCAAACACAGTTTTTATACGATTATCTTCGCGACACATTACTAATGGAAAGTGCATTGTGACCTACACTTCAAAATATTTAAAAAGAAAACAAAATTTAAACGGGAGTTATGAATGCATATTGTATTCATTATGTCCTGTCGGAAATGTATGTATGGTACTGGAACATGATATTCCTAAACGTAATAAATGTTTGAACGTGTATTGCCTGTAGTGAGGGAAATATGCTCTGCTTTCGGCTATGTTCGGTTGTCACCGGAAAATGGTTGACAGATAGACTGGGCACCCGGTGGCGACGTCGGATTCCAAGAGCGGTACCAGTTTGACAATATTAAATGATTTGATACCAATATTATATAACTAAGGGTGTTATTAACTGTAGTGAACACGAAATACATTGACATATCCGCATTTGACATCGCATTTGTCTGTTTCTGAAAACTATATTTATTTGGCATAAATAGATTCTACATTTCTTTCGTAAAATTGCTGACGCTGCAACAGTCCGCCTCAGACAGAGCCTTGCTATTTCCACTACTAAGATTGTCTTATGCAAGCTCTAGTGAATGTGAGTGTAGTATTGTGTAAAAATAAGTGAAACTCGACGTTCTTGAATAAGATATTAGTTTGTTCACATATAATACAACCCTTCTTGCATTATTTACTTGGAATATCACAATTCTTGCAGTATACAGTCATTATTTGAATTCTTTTACGTTCGTCCATCCAACGGTCTATCAATATCGAGTCACGATAACAAATTAATTTTGTGTCACAGGGAAAAGTTAGCATTCACGGAAGGTCGCAAATATACAATGCATGGGCGGATAAAGAGGGGTGGGGGTGGGGGGTGGGGGTGGGGGGGGGGGGGTGGGGGGTGGGGGGGGGTTGCGCCCCCCCCCTTTTATTTCGAAAAAAAACTTTATTTCTGTATAAATTACCACCAAAGACAATAAATAGATCTTAATTGTGCACACACACACACCCCACACCCCACACCCCACAACCCCCCCCACACCACCCTCACACCCTTTTCAAAAAAACTGTATCCGCCCATGCAATGTAGGGTAGCTCATCCTCGTGTATCCAGGGTATTATATCTCCATCTTATTAGGACAAATACCCTGGACCCATTTTTTGCTGCATTTTCTCGCTTCGTTTGGTACATGAAGCAGAATTTCTCTCGCTTATTACAGTCACTTGATTGTCCAGCTATTTTTAACATAATGTCAGTATAGCACTCGAAACTAGGGTAGCGAATATATTAGTCTGTCTCAGAGTCCCTGAAACATATTTTTTCCTTCTGCCCAGGCCTTTCTGTAATGCAAAAGCTCTGAATGAAGCAATTCTAGATTATCCCCAGATGAAGGTTCTGAATTTCCCATCTCACTGGGGCTTTTCAAGTTTCAAGTTCAAGTTTAGTTCAAGTCGAGAAGGATTTGATTTAGCATTGTTCTGAGCTCCATTTGTAATTTACTTCTTATTGTGTATAGATATATATATTTTATATTTGATAACTTTACTTCTGGGACTAAATGTTGGTCTAGAACGTTGCACCCTGTCTTACGTGTTTGGGTTGCAACCCCTCTGTAGCGGTTGCTTCGACGTTTACAGGACTATCTGAAAATATGTCGTGCACGTACTTGTCACTTTATTTGCACAAGCTGTTTGGAAATAATTATTAGTTTAAATCATAATTTCTACATTATATGAATAATAAGAACAAGTTGTCCCGACAAAAGACTGGCGTCCTAAGACTGTCCGCTTATCCAGACTTGCCTATTATAAGGACAATAGAATTACTACATATCAAGACGAGAGATTTCTTGAATTTTATTCACGCACGCACTAATTTTATGATACCAGATGAATTACAGGCAAATCTGTAGGAGCAATTTGTTGAGGAGTAAATTAACGTTCTGTGTAGCTGATTGGGGTGTTGTAGACTTAACACTGGTGTTGTGTATTCCAGCTACATGACAGCGGTCTGTAAATAATCGAGACTGGAGTAGACAACCTAGTGGTTGACATCATGAGCATCTATCCACGTGATTGGGATACGATGACATACATCAACCAAGTCAGCGAGCCTAACCCCGTTAATCGCCTCTCACAACACGCATAACCTCTCATATACGAGCTAGGCGGCTTGCTGAAGACCTATTCTAACCCGGATGTTCACGGGTGGTTCAGGTTAGGTGTTACTGTAGGTCTTCCAGCCTTTGAGTGTCGCTCCCTGGCTTCTTTTGTTCTACGGTTTGCCCTCGGCCCATTGATACATAATTATGCTTATTTTGGCGATGATCATGCAGACACAAACATCCGACGCCATTTGTGATGTGCTAGAACTGTAGCTCTTATATATTCCTATCTCACCTTGGAGTCCAATTTTCGTATTAGCTGTAGGCTAACATCTAGTCTCTGAAATGAACAAATTTTACAGAAAAAACCAGTTGTTAACTTATATTCATAAAAAAAAAGAAGGAGCCCAGAGACTCTCTTCATTGTCATTTCTGAAACTGCAGTAATCTAGATTTGCCCGCTATTATAGACATGCATGGACTGATTGGACATATTTGTTTCAGGGTCTGCAGTGTATGCCTGCGGTAATCTAGACCTGCCCACTATTATAGACTGTATTGGATATATTTGTTTTAGAGTCTGCAGTGTATGGCTGCAGTAATCTAGATTTGCCCACCATTATAGACTTGCATAGGCGGTCTTAGATATATTTGTTTCAGGGTCTGCAGTGTAACGCTGCAGTAATCTAGATTTGCCCACAATTGTAGACTTGCATAGGCTGTCTTAGATATATTTGTTTCGGGGTCTGCAGTGTATGGCTGCAGTAATCTAGATTTGCCCACTATTATAGACTTGCATAGGCGGTCTTAGATATATTTGTTTCGGGGTCTGTATGACCGACTATATAAGCTGCTACAACTGGAGTTGCATGTCACACATGTAAATGTGCAACATCTGTCAATATATAGGCCCACGCAATGTATTCCCCCATACAAGTCTGAAGTTAATATACTGGACTGCCATGATCATAGACCGTCTAGCAGATCATTTTTAGATCAAAGCGGTCTGTTGTTGGCCTCAACATAACTAAATGGTTGAGTGAGTTGGGTTTAACGTCGCTTTGAATATGTCGTGTCAGCTTAATGTGGCACGAAAGCCCACTTCGGTGAAACCCGCGAGCCCGGATACGGTGCTGACGAACCTAGAAACTAAATCAGGGCGAACCGTGATTAGAACCCACGATCACAGGTTTCTGGCGTGCACAAGGGACGCAACTCTGTCCAGCGAATTGCGGCGCCTCAGACCACCGGGCCAACCGTGTCCACAAGCAAATATAAACTGGGCGGCAAAAGAAAGTATAGGTCGAGTTCCATGATCGATAAAAAAAATAACAAGAAGAGGTTTTGTTGTGAATTATAATATAATCTAGGGAGGGGTAACAAATGATTGATCAACCACAGTTTGAATGAAATTGTGCAATCACAGGTAATGTGAGCTCAAGGTAAACAATGGTGGGTTAAGAAATTTCATTTTCAAAAGTTGTCTGAAATGTCACCAAAGAATTGTCAGACACACTACAAGTTCATTGTCGACACAGTTGCCTTCAATAGCATGTATGACCTCCAGCTGCCTCAATGCATGCTGTGATACGCCGCCTCATCGATGACGTCAGTCTTCTGATGACTGATGGACTGGAATCCGTTGCCACTCGTCTCTCAGGGCCTGCTGCAATTCTTGTCTGTTGACGGGAGGCCGATGGCGTGCTCTAATCTGTGTCAAGATGGTCCCACAGATGTTCCATAGGATTCATATCTGGTGAGTGGGCAGGCCAGGGCAAAACGTCAACGTTCTGCTGGTTTAGAAAGTTTCGAGTCAGTCTTGCAGTATGGGGCCTGGCATTGTCGTGTTGAAACAATGTCCCCTGCTGTTGGTTTTGTAAGGACGGAAGCACAAGTGGCTGCAAGACTTGGTCTCTGTACTGCACAGCGTTCAGGTTTCCCTGTATAATCACCAAATCAGTCTTCTGATCTCCACAAATACCGCCCCACACCATGACACCTCCCCCGCCGAATGGATGGACCTCTCGAATACACGCCGGAGCAAAACCTTTCCCTCTGCGTCGATAAACTTGTTCTCTGCCGTTATTTCGAAACAAGTTAAACCGACTTTCATCAGTAAACAGCACTCGACGCCAATTTCTTACTTGCCAGCGTCGTACCTGCCTCGCCCATCGCAGTCTCAGGCGTCGATGTTGAGCAGTCAGTACCATTCCTCGGAAAGGACGATACGCTCGGATTCCAGCAGCACGAAGTCGTCGTAGTACTGTACGTTGGCTAATGGGATGTCCTAACGCTGTTGCTGCCGTCGCCGTTACGAATCTGTTTCGCAGGTGAATGAGCCGTATCTGACCATCTTCCAGTGGTGTTGTCACTCGGGGTCGTCTGGTTCTAGACCTGTCCTGTGTCCTCCCTGTCTGCCTGTACCGTTGAATCAGCCTGGTTACTGACAATGGTGTACAACCAAACCTTCTGGCAATTTGGACCTGTGTTGCCCCCATTTCGGCTATACCGATGGCTCTCTCTCTCTCTCTCTGCTCCCGTGACAGTCGTGGCATTTCTTTTGTGTGCTTTCATCACGTGTGGTTATACCCTGCGGACGAACGCATTTATACAGCTAACATGCACGTGCAGTTTATGCCATAGGCGGGAAACCTGTTTCACCATTATTTTTGTCACCGCACGAGCGCCGTCAAAGGTGGCGCGTTCGGGTGAGGTGTTTTTTGGTAAATGTTCCTGGGCAGTCATATTCCCAATACCCACTTTCCACTAGTTATCGCTGTTTTTAGGAAAATTACACGCGTTGACCCTCAACGAGCCTCTTCAGGTCATACATAAGAGAAGAGTCTGGAGAGAAATACTAAATGGTGTTGAGCGAAGGGCGACGTGAGTTTTACGCAAGAGATATCGATCGTTGCATGCATTGGTATTTACTCATTCTGTTA